TCCTTTGGAGTATGGTGGAGGAGGAATGCTAGTTGTAATATTTCTACACACTGAGAAGGCTGCAAGGTTGCACAGAACAAGGCTTTCCAAGAACAACCAGAAGACTGCTTTGAAATAAAGGTCAGAAAACTGACTCTTCTCTCCTTTTCTTTAATAAAGGTATGAAGTGTTTCTCCCATTAAGACTTGAATTTCTCCCCGCTACTGGGATCCATCAATGCAATTTTGATTACAGGGAAAAAAAAAAAGGCTAAACTCTTGATTAAAATTAAACACATTTTAAAACACTTCATAATTAAAAACCAATACCCATTCCCTTCCCCAGGCACCCATCCTGAGTCCAGTTTTGTAACAGATGCTGAGGTACAGGACAATAAGTTAGAGTTCATTCCAATTTTGCAGAGTTCAAAAGTCTTCCTAATGTGTTGTCTTCTTTGATCCCTTCCCAAATTTGGCATCAAGTCCAAGACCTGCAGAGAAATGAGAAAAAAATTCTAAGGGAAAGCCCAAGGCCTGTACAATTAGTCCTTTCTATAGCTCCACATGCTAACTGATGCCGAATTACTTGAGAGACAGTGGGTACCTGTGAAATTTTAAAGAGTCCAAAAAAGGTCTCCCAAATCAGTTGGATATGTGACCATAACAACAGCCTCAAAGATATCCCCATTCCTCACACTTCCCTTCCCCAAAACACTGAGATAGTGGTTTTGCCAGCAAGCTTGTCCAAGAAAATCCATTGTCCAAAATCCTAGGTCAACCCATTCCCCCCCCTCCCTCTATACTCCACCACTCTAACAGATAAGGAAAAGACTTCAGAAAGTCAGGCTTCCAGGACTTACCCATGAATACCAGGATAGTTCCCACCCACTGCATCATGCTGATCGGGTTGGCAAATAGAATGACAGATGCTAAAATGGTGAAGAATTTGCGGGTTGTGGTGATGATTGAACAAGTTAAGGGTCCAAAGTATACCACAGTCATGAAGATGAAACTCTGAGAGAGAGAGAGAGAGAGAGAGAGATTGATTCAGTCTGTCTGAGAAGGCAAGATCAACATGAAGATCCATCTTAAACCTTTTCAGAGAATCTTTTGGCAAAGAACAAATCCCAACCACAACCTGAAGACGACATAAGAATTTGTACGCAACCTTGACAGTCTTGATCTGAAAATGCTGGCTGAATAGTGAGCTAGGAACAATCAGATCTGGCAGGAAGACCAGACAACTTCACATTTCCGTCACACAAGTAAATTAATATTCAATGTTCTTTGGTCATCAAGTGCCTGGGGTAAGGGAACCAGAAAGTTACTTACCTGACCCAGTGCACTTGTCAGGCCAAACAGCAGGATGTTGTAGAGGATGCTGGGGTAGCGTTCAGCAAAACTCAGGAATTCCCAGAGCTCTCCAGTGAACAGGATACCTGCAGAAAGTTTAAAGAGAGAAGGATGAACTCAAGGCAGAGACATCCTGGGCAGACAGGGCCAGAGCATTCATACTCTGAACTCATGTTCACTATGGTCAGATAACAGATACAGACAGCAAAGACTAAGCTCCACCCAGAGAATATCAGTGGCAAAGAACTTTCAGTCATTGCACCATGCCAGATAGGTTGTTTTGGAAGAGAAAACAGCAAGTTGGCTACCCATCCCAGGATTTAAACTAACATAACATAACATCCAGGAGTTAAGTTCACTTTGCTGCCTCAGTTTTGCAGCTCTATGCACTATTGCTGTCGTCCTGGACCCACTTAGTCTGAACTCATTGTGTTTGCAGCCAGCATAAGGGGTGCCTGGAGGTAAGTGAGAGGAATCAGATGCTACAGCAGAACGTAAGAATGTCGTCTTAGCAAGGAACAGGTCCTTCACATTCCAGATGTCAGCTACACTTTTAAACCTGGCCTCAGTTATGAATGGAACAGATGAAACAAACATCACTGTCAGTGTCTCATGACAACAGACTGTACCTTGCACTCTGTATCCCGATTCTCAAAAGACAGCCGCCAACAATCTCTCTCACACACACACTCTCTCACTCAAATAGAACAGGAGGCTTCTGTTTAGAAGCCTGATCTGACCCCAGTCTTTGCCAAAACAAGAGAGCCACCAAATTGTAGCCTAGGAAGCTACAATTGATGCTACCGAGCCAGCCTGAAAGCAGGATCTTTTCAGACATGTGACTGCAGTTTTGGGAATGGCGCTTTAGGAGAAGCGGTGTCCACTGGTGGCAGTTTAAGAAACTACAATAAAATCTCCACAGATTAGGTTTAAAACAAACAAAAAGAAGCTCTGCAAGACATACTAGGCCCTTTTTAGAACAAGAGACAAGGGTCCTGCCTAGAGGATCTTACAAATTAGTCTTCAGGCCAGGTCGCTATGGCTTCCTCAGATGTTCCTTACCAGCCCCCAGGAACAAGGTGGACCATAGATTAACATTTAGCATCATGTGATTGGAACCAGTTTGGTAATGAGCTCTCATATGGTCCTGAGACACTCCCGTCAGTCCATCCAATGTCAGTGACAGCAGCTAAGGAAAGGGGGGGGAAAAAAACATGTTGCAGAAGACCAGAAGAGAACTCTCTGCCAGCTACTCCCTTCCTGGAACATGCATTGAATTACTCCTGAGGGCATTCTGCGCCAAAAAATTAAAAATGATGCGCACAGTATTTTAAAATTTTGCAAAATTCTGCATATTTTATTTGTCAAATAAATGAGGCAGCTCCAGCATGGCACTGGGGAGCACAGGCCACTGGCTACATAGGGGGTCCAGGTGAAGGTGGTTGGGGCTCAGCAGGGGGTCCAGATGTGGGGAGCTCAGTGGGGGGGTCCAGATGCTGGGGAAGGGAGCTCAGTGGGAGCGGGGTCAGGTGCAACTGGTTGGGGCTCAATAGGGTGGGGAGCCGGCTGGCTCATTGGGGTGGTGCAGGGAGAATGGGGACTTGTCGGGGGGAGGGGCGCGTTCTGGGTGCAGGGGGATGGGGGTGGTGAGGGTTGGGAGGAGGGTCTGGGTAAGAGCGGGTCTGGATGCACACGGGTTGGGCGGATGTGGGAGCAGCTCCCTGTACAGTGATCCCTCCCCTACAATTGAAGAACTATGGGTGCAGGAAGCACAGGGGGCGGGAGGAGAGAGAAGGCAGTTTACAGAGCTTCCTGCAGCTGGGGGAGAAATCTGGGGGTGGATCTGACCCAGCCCTGAATACTGTGCAGGGGAAGAGAAAGTCCCGTCCTCCCCAGCCCAGCCGTGACTAGCAGCTGAGCATGGTGCAGGGTAGGAGGCACCAGCCAGGTCTTTCCCAGTCCCGCCCCCTACCCCAAGGTGATTTACCTCTCTGCCAGCTGCCCTGGGCACCCGAAACATACTGCTGGGGAGGGTTGTATAACTGCTCTTGTGGCTTTCTTTTGTTTTCCTGCCAGAAAGTCATTTTTCTGCGGGGCAGCAAAGAAATCTACGGCGGACATAAATTCTGCGCGTGTGCAGAGGTGCAGAATTCCCCCAGGAGTAGCATTTAAATTCTATAGGATTCTTGCTTCCACCTGCTTATTTAAAAACAGTTCAGAGGGCATTCTGACGAGGTGCCAGTGCTTCACCCTACATCACCATGTGGCAGTGTGCAAGCATGTCCCTCTGAACCAGAGGGAAGATCATCACTACCCAAGCATTCTAATGCTGGCTTTTTGCCAATCCCTCACGGTGGGTAGATCCAGGCAGAAGCCTGCACTAGTAATTGTTTTCTCCTCTAGTACCTTTCACCAACACAAAACCTTGGAACTACTTATGCTTCAACAGCCCAGTACTTACTAGGAGGAGTTCTCCATAGCCAAAGATGTGGTCATCCTCACCGTCACCTCCCTTTTTAGGTTTGTACATGAACAGAGCCACGCCTGTGACTATCAGCAGGACACACAGATATTTGGCTAGTGGGTATTTCTTCCTCAGCACCGTCACCCCTAAGAGCATGACTGAAAAGAAAAGATGATTTGGTAAAGTGCTCCCAAAACCCCTCCGCTAGGAATCTAATGACTCTGTGTCCAGTTCTGGATCTAATTGGGAAGTGCACAGATAGTTTGTTATCCGCACTAGTTGGCATGGAGCTATCGGGTGAGCAGCTGGACTGTTTCTGGGAATGCAATCCATAGCCTGCTCATGGCATGAGAAACACACAAAGCTATAACTTCGTAGCTGCTCACCTGGAATGGGCTTACAGGACTTCCCAAGGACCTGTAAGAGAAAGAGTATCTTAACTAGCTGCATACTACAGCCTCCCCACACTGGGCAAGAGGACCACAGAAACTGCCATATTGGATCAGACCCAGGGTCCATCTAGTTCAGTATCCTGTCTCTGATGGTCGTCAGCACCAGATCCTTCAAAAAAAGATGCAAGAAACCCTGCAGTAGGCAGATGGAGGATCATCTAAGCCCTCCCCAATGCAGGTTTCTAAGACTGGCTTAAACCCTGAAACATGAGGATTTTTCCTTCTCCCAGATTTTTTTTTTTAAGCAATTCGTATTATAACTCTGGATGTTTGTTATCCCTCTGGATGGATGGTCCCTCTTGGAATCACTAAGTCTATCACCACTTTGCCTTGCAGGGATAGAGTAAAAAGAAAAGCAATAGAATACCGTCCTCACTGCCACTCTTGCAGGGCAACAAGGGTCAGAACTGCAGCGTCCTCCACGGTCAATCTTTTTTAGTGACTTACTCTTTAATTAGAATGGTTTCCTGTCAGTGCATTGATGGATCATGTGAGCATCCCACATACCAAGAGTGCACAATTAGAATTTGTAAAAATCCTCAAGAGGGAAAGGGCAAATCTGTAAAGGGGAATTTTTACAACGCAACCTTCTCCCCAACACACTCGTCTGCCTGCCTTTCTTCACCTGAGTTGGATAATTGACGAACTGCAGAGCTGAGTTGCTGGAAACCATAGCACCCAGATAGGAGAGCGAGCAAGCTGCATACAGCCAGTTCTGGGTCCGATCCACCCTGATGGCGTCAAAAAACTGGATCACTGTGGAGAAGACAAAACATACAAGAAACACACATGGGCTGATGAGACTGGACGTTGGCATCATAAGGCTATTTTATAATGCCATTGAGATACAAAAGCCACAAAGTATCTACAGCAGAGGGGAGATAAACTCTCCAGATCATCAAAACCACTCAATCTTTTCAGCTCACATGCTCTCTGAGGCAAAGGAGCTATATTGAATTCCTGAAACTTGGTGAGGCAGAAGGAAGATGAAAAAAACCAAGGGAATAGGTATAGAACTTCTTACAGGAGACAAAAGCTTGGACATCCTAGTGGTCTACTCTGACTCTTCCCAACAATAAAACCACATTGAATGAAAAGAATTTAGAATCTGGTTTTATGCAGTGTCTTTCATTTATAAAATTCTTTATTAAATCAGGTATCAGAGGGGTAGCCGTGTTAGTCTGAATCTGTAAAACGCAACAGAGGGTCCTGTGGCACCTTTGAGACTAACAGAAGTACTGGGAGCATAAGCTTTCGTGGGTAAGAACCTCACTTCTTCAGATGCATTATTAAATCAGGTTAGCCAGTAATTGTGCAATGTCTGTGCAGACACAAATGGAAAAACCACTGTGTGCTCAACAAAAGCTCACAGTCCCTTGGAAGTTGTGACTTAGGCAAACGTTGGTATCGGGAGTGTGACCTGCACTACAGGTAACCACTGGGTGAGCCCCATGACTCTGGAAGACAGTCACTTCCCAGCCCAGAGGAGAAGGAAGTGAGATGGGAGTCAGGCTCAAAGAGGTCCTGGTGCGGAAAAGCAAGGGGTGACATACTGGCTGTTCTGGAACACTTACCTAACCTGGCAAAGATGGCATTGATCACGCATTGAATGAAGACCAAGGACAAAGCATATTTGAACTTTTCCTGCTTGGCACCTTCTCCATATTTACCTCTAGTTCTGTAGGAACAAATGAATTAAACAGGAGATTGAGAGGGTGAGAGGTACACTGAGTGAGACTGCAGCATAAGGCATGGTGCACATTTACTCATGCTTTCTTCCCAGGTGATTTAGCCCAACAGCTACCAACCTTTTTACACAAACATGTAGCAAACAGTGCCCTCGGCTGTATCTGCCAGTCCCCCCCACCTAGTCACCCTCCTGCACAACATAGGATCCTGAGGATTCCCCCACGGAGATGTCTTGTTTTCTGGTAGGATGCCCAGGAGAGATGACATGTCCAGGTTCTGCCACTGTGCAGAAAGTGGGGGAGGTCCCCAGACTAGGAGAGGGGGACTTCACAGTGGAAAGGTGCAATTTACGCCTCCTGTAAGACCCAGATACAGAGGAGTAGGAGTCACTTATATGCTCTGCTATAAATAGTCCTGGTCCCCAGGCTGGGAGGGGGCTCTTACATGCTCTGGTGCAAGATCCAGGCAGAGCGGCTCCCCAGTGCCTGGGCACTAGGCAGGGGTCACTCACATGCCCTCCTAGCACCTGGGCTGGGAGGGGCTGTCACTCATAATGTACTCGAGGTGTACATCCTCCCCGGCAGCCCCAGGCTAGGGAAAACAGGAACACCTTTCCCACCCTCAGGCCTTGCATAGAAGGGAGCTCAGCACATGCCCACAAATGAAACACAAACGCCCACACACACGAGTGTAATCTAGAAATACAGGTCAGTGCAGGACCCAGACCGAGGCGCTCGCTAGTGTCTGGACTAGGGGGATGGGGGTGACTCGAGGTCTCTCCGGGGGGAGAGGGGGGGGAATCACTCGCGGTCTCTCCGGCAGGAGGGGAGGGATGACCCGCGGTCTCTCCGGCGGGAGCCGGGTGGGGGAGG